GAGATCGACAGGCGGATTGGTTCGGCGTCTGCAGTGATGCGGACGCTGAGCCGATCTGTCGTGGGGAAGAGGGAGCTGAGCCAGAAGGCCAGGCTCTCGATATACCGGTCGATCTACGTCCCAATCCTCACCTATGGTCATGAGCTTTGGGTAATGACCGAAAGAACGAGATCGCGGATACAAGCGGCCGAAATGAGTTTCCTCCGTAGGGTGGCCGGGCTCAGCCTTAGAGATAGGGTGAGGAGCTCGGACATTCGGGAGGGACTCGGAGTAGAACCGCTGCTCCTCCGGATCGAAAGGAGCCAGTTGAGGTGGTTTGGGCATCTGGTCAGGATGCCTCCTGGACGCCTCCCCGGGGAGGTGTTTCGGGCATGTCCTGCCGGCAGAAGGCCCCCGGGTCGACCCAGGACACGTTGGAGAGGTTACATCTCCAATCTGGTCCGGGAACGCCTTGGGGTCCTGCCGGAGGAGCTGGTGGACAAGGCCGGGGAGAGGACGGCCTGGAGCTCCCTAGTTGGGATGCTGCCCCCGCGACCCGGACCCGGATAAGCGGAGGAAGACGAAGACGAAGAAGACGAAGACGAAAAAATAGACAATTGTGATTAAAAATGTTAAGAAAGAGAGAGAGTGAACAGGAAAGAGGGAAATCAGTGGATCCTGAGGAAGGTGGAATAGGTGGGGAGAGCAGAATAAAGAGAGAGAGGTGAAGAAGGTCATACAAAAGCCAGCTTGAACAAGTGAGTCTTCAGCTGCTTTTTAAAGGAGACCACTGAGTCCACTGATCTCAGGCTCAGGGGGAGAGAGGTGCAGAGTCTGGGGGCTACAGCAGCAGATGATCTGTCACCTTTGACCTTTAGCCTGGTGCTGCACAACCAGTAGGCTTTGATCACTGGACCTCAGGGACCTGCTGGGGGTGTAGGGACTAAGAAGATCACCAATGTAAGATGGTGCTTGTCCATGTAAGGCCCTATAGACCAGAACCAGGATCTTGAAATGAACCCCGAAGGTGACTGGCAGCCAGTGAAGCTGGAGGAGAAGCGGGGTGATGTGGGCGTGTTTGGAGGACTTGGTCAGAAGCCGAGCACAGGCGTTCGGAACCACCTGTAGACGGTTCAGGGAGGTTCTGCTCAGACACGTGAAAAGAGAGTTACAGTAGTCTAAGCGTGAGGAGATGAAGGTGTGGAGAACTGTCTCAAGTTCAGAGCGAGACAGAATGGGACTCAGCTTAGCAATTTTCCTGAGATGGAAGAAGGAAGAGCGAACAAGAGAACTGACATGAGAATCCAGGGTGAGAGCTGGGTCAAAGGTCACGCCTAGATTCCTGACAGAAGGTTTGGTGTGGGAAGCAAGCTGACCAAGAGAGTCTCTGACTTTGGGAACCAGCGTATTTGGGATTGGAACAGTACTTGATGCCGTTTCACGAGTACGTGAGGACAAACGTTCAGACAAGTATCAGATCTATCTATGTATATGTACACATATGGCCCAGATAAACTAATAATATTAATGACCAATTGATAATGTATATCTGTAAAACGAATGTGTTAAGATATTTTGTAGGTATTTGGCTTTTGATTGACCTCAGATGAACCCTCTCAGACAGCTCCTCTGAGATTCCTGCCAGATGTTTCCTCAAAGGAAGTTTTTGGGGTAAAAAAAAACCACTTTGGCTATTAAAAAAGGGCAAATGGGAATCCAGTCACTGTATTATAAACCCTATTGTGTCTAGATCTTTAGGTCTGTCTCTGAGTAAGAACTCAACTCAGTCTTTGGTCTATTCAGCTCACCATGCTGAGCTTTGAAGCCATAAAAACACGAAATATAAACTGGAGTGGTTTCGTGGACAAAACTTTCTTTCTAAAGGTCAAAAATGTTTATTATGACAGAGTCGGAGGAGGTTTTGCTGGAGTGTGTGAGACTGCACGCTCAGACTTTCCTGCAGATAAAGAAAGGTTACAGTAAACTTGTGACACTTCTGTTGTTTGTATTTGTACAAGATAAAAACGTTTCTCCACCTTCAGACTAGGACTTCTGGGTGGGGGGCGGGGGTGGGGTGGGGGTGGGGTGGGGTGTCAGAGATTTGAAAACATTTTCATTTATTATTTCTTTTTCTTTTTCGACGCAGCTTCACAAAGACTGTAGATGATCCCTGAAACTATTTTAACTTTTAACTGGAAGGTCAGCTCTTTGTATTTAGCTTCGGAGCCAAAAGGCAATAAAACGCAGAGATGGTTCTAGGCTAATGGCTGCTCCTCAGAAATGGTTATTTTTAGACTTTCTTCAGCTACAGAGAAGACTTTAACTTTTATTTCCTTCCAAAAATAATCTAGAAAGTCTCGTTTGGCTGCGAGCCTTCGACGCCAACTTAAAGAGAACAAAGACCAAAATCCAAAAGGAAGTTTTGAGTTTTGCAAATTGATCCAAAAATAATTATTGGAAGCTAATAGTTTCTGCTCTCATCAACTTCGGTTGCAGTCATGGTGTCTCGGTGTTGCTCTCTGTCATCCATCCATCTTCCTCCACTTATCACTGCAGACGCGGCACCAATCTGTCTATCAAACTCCCGCTCCATCGTCCACCTGGAGAAGGCGTTCCACCCTTTTCCGACTCAAGACCGTGGTCTCGGGTTTAGGGGAGCTGATTCTCGTCGCGCTCACACTCGGCTGTGAACCGCTCCAGAGAAAGCTGGAGGTCACTGGCTAACCCAAAGTCACCAAACTCTGCTTCCTCACTGGAAGACGTGCCGATGGGATTGAGGAGGTCTTTGAAGTACTCCCGCCCACCGATCAGCAACCTCCTGAGTCGAGATCGTCACCACAGTGAACAGCGTTGGTAGCGCACTGCTTCCCCTTCCTGAGACCAAGGATGGTGGACCAGAGTCTCCTGGAAGCTGTTCGGAAATATTTGTCGTGACTTGCGGGAGGCGTCTAACCAAAGACATGCAGAATCAACACGAACAACCAGGGTGAATAAAAAGAAAATATCTTTCATATAAAACGGGAACTAAGGGAGCCCTGGGGAGTCCAGTGAGTGCATCTGCGGCGGGCGGAGGTCCAGAGTCAGAGTCCTGAGATCAAATGGGGAAGGTAGCGAGCCAAGGTGACTGGGGAGGGGGTCCTGGTGAGCGAGGTGGGTGAGGAAGCGGAGGGGAGACGGTGAAGAACACCTCGTGAAAAAACTCTAAAAACATGAACGTTTAATTCCCCCGTGACTGGAGGAGTGAAAAGATGCGCAGCAAGTGTTTTATTTGTGGACGGAAACGACAGGTTACGTGGGTTTTATCTGTGGCGAGCGCATGAAGAGGTGGAGGAGAATGAGAGACACATTTGTCTGTATTAAAAAGTCTCTTAAGTAAAAGTTAAAGTCCCATTGGTTGTCACACACACAGGTGTGTGTGCGAAATTTGTTCTCCGCATTTGACTCATCCCCTGGGTGAGCGGTGAGCAGCAGACAAGCTGCGCTCGGGAACTATTTGGTGGTTTAACCCCCCAATCCAACCCGTTAATGCTGAGTGTCAAGCAGGGAGGCATTGGGTCCCATTTTTTTCAAAGTCTTTGGTATGACCCGACCAGGAATCGAAGCCCTGATCTCCCAGTCTCAGGGCGGTCACTCTACCACTAGGCCACTGAGAAAGGTTAAATACAAAAAAAACGAAATAAAACACACTATCTTGGACCGATACATGACAGGATACAACAGAACAGCGCTACGCCCTCTGTTGTCCTGCCGGGGAATTGCTTGGCTACACTCCCCAGGAGACAGAGAAGTATTAGAGCAAAACGCTTCCGTCAATCCATGCGTGTCTGTTCCTTGCGGAGCTGACGGAGAAGCATGAATCAGGCTTTAGAGTTGGACTTTCCCTCAGACCCCAGCCATTACTATTCCTCTAACCCGAACACTTCTTTAATACATTTGCAGTGGTCTCTAGGAATGCACGGTAAGTCGTTCTCTGGGAGAAAAAAAGCTCCGGTGCACCTGTTTGAGGATGTGGAGTTCAGCTGACAGAAAAAGTAGCTTCAGATGACAGGATTTGGAGTTTAGTCTTCTGAGATTTGGACATCTCTCCTCTGATTGGCTAACAGCAGCATAACTGTACCACTGACTCTGTTTGCTCTGCAACGCTGATGTTTCGTTTCCACAAGTAACACAAGCCTGGAGGAGTTCCGCTGTGTGGTGGAGCTGCTAATGCTAACGGTTAGCTTCTACTAGCAGAGACGTTCTCTGCTGTTTCCTGGACGCTAAACCAACAGCAGCCTTCCCCGTCGAGAGTCAAGATGGGTGAGTCCATGAATGTTAAGTGACAGTGTGACGTAGATCTGTCGGGATTTTCTAATCCTAGAGTTTCACCGTCTGTCTTCTATCAGAAGCTAAAGCAACAGGCAGGTGTAGGAGACTATTTTCATGTTAAAGTCTGCAGGAAAACTCAGAGCGATCCATTAGAATCAGAAACTGAAACCAGAACGTTTGCGTGACATTCGTGTGAGATTTGCCATTGTCTTTGTGTAACTGACGTTTTACCGTTTTGTTGTGGTTCCGCTCCTCTCCCCCGTCTCTGGCGCCTGGCCGCTTCTCTCTCCCTGCTATCAGCTGATATAAATGTGATTTCTGGACCAGGAAGCTCTTTTAAACTTCTCAAACCTTTGAATAAAACTCATCACCCAAACGTGGAATCAGGAAGTGTGAAACTCAAACACAGAGAAGGTGCTAATGACAAGTTCAACCCTGGAGAACTCCCACTGCTGTTCGCTCAGCCATCGAGGAAAACGCACGACAACACTGCACGAAAAACCAGATGTTGGTGCAGATGCTGGGATTAAACTTCCTACCACATGACAGAGCTTTCTGTTGTCCTCCACACATGGTGGACTTCACAAGTTCCTCAAACGCCTGGACCACCTGAGTCAGAGGAAAACAGCTTTTGTTTAGGTTAAAGACAACCCCGTCTGCTGCATGTTTCCCCATATCCTCCCTCACTCTCTCCCCTCTCTTCCTGCCTCTCTCCCCCGTCTTTTGTGATTGGCCGGTTTGGTCTCCCCTGCGTTTTGCTGATGTAAATCTCTGCTGGGGAGGGGTGGAGATATGTGCAGCCTGCTTCTGATACTGAAGGACGCTGCTATAAAAACTCGGCTGCTCTTTGCTGACAAAAACCAGAGGCGGCTTTGGATTTTTAAGACTCCAACATGTGCAAAGGGCTTGCTACACTTCCTGCGACGTGCTTGAAAAGGTAAGCCTCTAGCAGTCTGAGCAACAGGTGGACACGGGTGATCAGAAGAGAAATAAACAAATCGTGTTTTCACATTTAGTCGGTGATCGTGCCCTAAATGGAAGACGTTAATTAGGAATTAATTGGCGTAAAGTAGATTTATTTAGTTGCAAACAAACTTTCAGCTTGTAAAAAACTGCTTTTCCAACAGCGCAAAGGACATCAAGCACAAAATAAGCTTCTTGCTGCAGAAGCCAGAGCCTCAAGCAGCCGATCAGAAAGAGATCAAGGAGAAAAGCGTCGCTGCTGCAAAGAGGTGAGAACACTCATTCATCTCTGAGTGGTGTATACTGAAACTCTAATTTCCCTCTGGGATTAATAAAGTATCTTTGATTTGAGTTGATCTTTGTTCAGATTCACACTTTCATCTCTGCGGTAAACGATCTGTCATTAAATCGGAGTTTTCTGGAAGATTTTCATGGATAAATATCCACGAAGGGGATGTGTTGGTTTTAGGTTCTGAACACTGGGCTAAATGACGTCATTGGATTCATTGTATTCTGGGTTAAACTGATTTCTTTATTTGGTTTTAAATGTTATTACAATAAAACAAGGTAAATGCTTTCTATAAAACCTTAAATTGAAACACCTGTAGACTTATTTATCTGAGCTGAAGCTTAAAACTGGACCGTTGGTGAAGATGAATCATTAAACATGGGATTTTTGACCCAATCGGACTTTTTTTTTTCTCCATCTTAGAGAAAAATGAAGAGAACATCAGGAGTCTTCCTGCGTTAGATGGACTCAGACGTCCTTTCCACTGAGTGAAAAATCAATGATTTCCTGCCTAAGAGCACTCTGTGTCTCTCTCACTCGTGTAATTGTTTTGTGTCAACGGATTATTATGATTATTGGCTGCAGACTTAAATTTAAAGGTAGTTTCTTTGCGGAGGAGCAGGTTTTGTTTGGACTCGGATCCGCCCACAGGTCGTGTTCCCACAGGAAGCCAGTCCTCTATGAGAAGGTGATGGCACTGACCTTCAACACTCAGATTAGGTATAATTCATCCAGCCACCGCCACAGCTGATCGATACCCTGCTCATGCTGTCATGTATGCATATACAGACGAGCGTTTTCATGTGACGGCTGTCGGGGAATCTTTAAGGAAGTTTCATTAACGTTTTAAAGGTCAGATGACACACACCGATGTAATCAGAGATGTCAACACCGATCAGAGAGACGGTGCAGGCGGGTTCAGGCTTTTTCCACCGTGTTTTTAGCTGCTTTTATGTTGGTTTGCAGGGGAAAAATCCCCGTCATGTGAAAATCTCCATATCAGAGAACGCTTCGTGCAGGAATTACATTCTGCAAAAGATTAGAACATTTAAATTAGCATCAGAATGTGAAGGTTTTACACAAAAAAGTACATTTTTCACATAACCCTCCCACTGTCTTTACGGGTGACCCCGTGAGGAGCAGGATTGATGGTTTATCCCTTGAGGTCCACGTGGTGGTGCTCACTCCTCACCCCTGCCACGTGGACCCAAGGGATAAACCATCAACCCTGCTCAGTGGCACACTTTCCTGGCGGGGTCACACCCATTGGTACAGTGGGAGGGTTTAAAAAAAAGCATCTTTTCCGTTTGCTTTAGAGTTCCTGATGCAGCTGAGGTGGAGAAATGGAAGGAATCTTTCAGCCACGTGATGAGCAGTGACGGTAAGTGAGATGTTTTTTCAGCTAAAGGTTTCAGTCTGGCTCAGACCGCAGGGGTTTTGTCTGATCTTAATTAGAACGTCACCGACTCATCAGTTCGCAGAAATGCAGAAGGTCTCTGCGGGTTTATAAAAGTGGGAAAGATTAATCTTCTCACGTGATGTTGGGATCCTGCAGTCCTGGGAGGCTGTTCAACTCTGATAGACCTTGTTTATGTTTACAGTAGCTAATAAAGTTTATAATATCAACAGTGGTGCTCTCCCGTTCATATTTTGAAGGTGTAGCCCTTAAAACAATGTTAGTTCTCAGTGAGCCGCATCCTCGCCCCGCTGCGATGAGGAAACTCAGGGTTTTGTTATCAGAGGGAAGTGGGGGAGGCTTGGATATGGCGCACAAACATGCAAATTGAGCACAAACACACTCAGACACTCCTCAGCTCATTTCTCATGCTCCAGTTTGTAGCTACGTGTCACGCGGCACAGCGGAGAGAACCCTCAGGGTGCTCTGACCAGTGCAGAGTCACTGGTGTCTGTGTGCTTCTGCTCCAACTCCTCTGAGAATCTCTTGAGTGTGTCGATTAAAGCCGTGGAGCAACGGCCTTGCGGGAACGACCCGCTGCGTTCCATGACCTCCTCCGCTGACCTCCAGCATCGTCATTTCTTCCTTCTGCCTGGGTCCGTCAGCCTCCATCGCTCCAATCTCCTGTTGTTTACTGTTTTGTGACCTGAACTGTTTCCACAATCTATCATCTCAGTCACGCTGGACTTTGGAGCGTGCTCTGTTTTGTTTTATACCACTTCTGTCGAGGCTCGGCCCTGGTTCGTTCTCTATCCACGACGAGCCTCTGAATGCAGCTGAATTAACACAGAAGCAAACAATCACGTTATTTAAAAATGCTTTGGACTCCTTTGTCTTCCAGTCGGAGCCGATTCAAAATTTAAAATGTTTTGAGATTTGAATGGCATCAGAATTAGTAGCTTTTATGGAAAATATGAAATCATATTTTTGAACTTAATTCATTCAACCAAGTCTTCCATTTTTGGGTATTTTTAATATTTGAAGCATTATTTACTATGTCAGACATTTATTTCCTTTCCTGAGCATCAGCCTTCAGTTCTTGGCCCTTTAACCCTTAGTCGGTACAGCTAAAATAAAGTTTTCTACTAAGTAACGAAATGTCAGTTACCGACATAAAAAGGTTTCATGCCATCGAAACAACCCAGTCTACTGTTGTCTTTCAAATGGCCTCCGCATGCAATTGGTCAGTGCTGGGGCCAATCACAGCAACCAACAACGTGACATATTCATCGCTATGGATATCAAGAACCAGCAAGTACATCGCTTTTTAAAATAACTGACCTGAGTACCTCTATCTGTCTCAAAGAAAAGCCCAAGTCTAAATTGTCCAAAGTTGAAGACAAATCGTTAGAAACAAACGCCGTTCCTGAGCTGACGCCATCTTTATAGTTTCTCTCTGTTGAAGCTCTGGTGCTTGTCCAGCCCCCCCCCCCCCCCCCAAAAAAAAACCCAATGTGATTGGCTAGATACAAAACTGTTCTGTCCAATGGTGGACCTGCTGAGGCATGGCTAGTCCAAACTGCAGAGCTACGGTTGGTCTAGAAGTATTTTCTGCCTTTATAGATAGATAGCATATATATATATATATATATATATATAGATATACCTATAGTTATACCTATAGATAGCCCATATATATCTATAGATAGCCTATATATACACACCTATAGACATACCTATAGATATACCTATAGATAGCCCATATATATCTATAGATAGCCTATATACACACACCTATAGACAGCCTATATATATCTATAGATAGCCTATATACACACCTATAGATAGCCCATATATATCTATAGATAGCCTATATATACACACCTATAGATAGCCTATGTATATCTATAGATAGCCTATATACACACACCTATAGATAACCTATAGTTATACCCATAGAAAGCCTTTATATATACACATCCTTTGTTTGAAATGCTCTCTTCAAATGAAATAGTAATATCCACTAGGGGCTGCATGACTTAATTTTTTTTAAAGTGGACACTCAAGTAATGAAAATCGAGTCGACTTTGACTTGGCGTTGATCTAAAAGATCTACCGACCGCAAAAACAGCGGAGTGCGTGCTGCTCGCGGGCCGCATCAGTGAGGTGCGTCACCGGAGGACAAAACAGGTGATGCGCCCCGCTCCACAGCAGTGAAACGCATCAGGCACAAATAAAAGACAGAAAACATAAAAGGAAATGAGCCGACATGAACAATCGCGTGTTAAATTTGTTTTTGAGGTGGCGACTCCTAATTTGATGATGTTACTGTGGCCGTAATCAGGACACAGCGCCTGGAGCGCGTCAACAATCAGAGCTTTGCATGCGCAAGCTGGTTAAGGTTAGGATGGGGGTGAGGGGAAGGTTAAATTGCAAGAGGGTAAAGGTCACAATTCAGTCAAATGTCCGTTTTACCGCTGGCGTCAGACACCGACGCTCTGGCACAGCGCGTCGCCTCCCGACGCGCAGGAGCTCGTCACCTTCTGTCTTTTCCAAGGACTGCATCTTGTCGGTCATTGTCACGTGACAGCGACTAGTCGATGACAGGCATAAAAAGTCACTACAGAGCAGTGAAGCTGACTAGTCGACTAGTTCATACAACCCCTATTGTCCACTCATAAAAGCTTTGAGATGATTTTATTCTCCTGTGTGGACATGCAGACCATCTGGATCGGGCTGAAGGAGAATCAGGACTCACATCAGGAAGTTTTCACTTTTCCAAAACTAAATTTAATCATGTTTTTCCTTCTCTGCTAGTGGGTCGTGTGGTTTTCACCTCATTCCTGAAGTCCGAATTCAGCCAGGAAAACGTGGACTTCTGGACCGCTTGTGAGGACTATAGGAAGACTCCACCTTCCAAGATGGCAACCAAAGCCAAGCAGATCTATCAACAATACGTGGCGGCCGATGCTCCGAATGAGGTAAAATCATCAAGCTGGTTGGAAGAAGAGGTATAAAAGTATCTGTTAAATATGTAAATGAGCATTTTATAAATAAAGTTTTACAAATAAACGTGAACACCCCAGAATCCTAAACTTCCCTTTCACTTGTTTAAGGTAAACTTGGATGCTGCAACCAGAGACAAAACCAGACAGGAAGTGGAAAACGGCAGCCCGGCGTGCTTCGACGAGGCTCAGAAGATGATCTACGCTTTAATGGAAAAAGACTCGTACAGGCGCTTCCTGAAATCCAAACTGATTCAGGATCTGTGCCAGAAAGGGACGTGCTGCGCTCTGGAGAAGAAGAGCTGTGACTGGGCCGAGAGCAGGCAGGTGTTAGCTGGTGGGGCCTAAACTGGACGGAGCTTTAAAGCAGGTGCCAAAGAATGAAAATGTGAGAGAGAACCAGGCTAGGAAGGAAGGATGTTTGGAAAAACGTTGGTTCTGAAGGCAACATAACGTTACTTTGGAACGAGTTTCCCTCTAGAGATACTCCTACTTGCTGTTTGCTGTTTAGTCATGAAAAAATAATCAAAAGTTCCTCATTTCTGCATTCACATTTAGCTATTTGTGATGTTCTCAGTCAGTCTGACAAAGACAGACGACATGCTTCAAACTTTCATCTAGAAAACATTAAATTAATCCGTCTGCAGAAACAAACGATGCTTCCACTTTTCCAGCAAATGCAACTGGCTCTCGTTATTTTCAGCAACGACAAAAACAGTGAAAAGTTTCTCACCTGCAAACAAGCGTTTTATTTTGAAAGAATTCGGTCATCTATGGAAAGAGGAAAGACCTGGGAATGTTTTGATCGGATTGTTTGAAACTTTAACGTGAAAGTTTATTCCAAACTTTTGTAAAATGCATGCAAAAGGGAAAATTTGACTCGTGATTTTATTTAATGTCAAGGGAAGAAAAGTGTAGAACAGGATTTTTTTTTAAATTATTTTGTCTAATTTTAAAAATAAGATGAAATGTTACATGTAGAAATGGAAGAAAAAAGAGAAAATTGATAAAAAGTAAACAAAAACTAACAGATAATGAGTTATTAATGCGTACGTCTTTTATAAAAATGATTGTTTTAAGTGGATAATGAACTACGGCGTCAAAGCAAAATTATTGACATCCAAAAATCAGGTTTTGGTCTTACACAAGATTAAAAACATTTGGAAATTTTACAAAAAATAAAAAAAATAAAAAAAATAAATAGAAACCAAATTTTGATGGAGATGTGCAATGTAGAAAAACATAATAGTTTAATGATTGAGTAAATAATATGTTATTATTAGTTTTCCAGCTATGTATTAATTCTAAACAGAAAAAATTCTAAAAAATACAGTAGTTAATCGGTTAAATATGCAAAACGGAACTATAAGGTCAGGCTGTTTTTGACTTGGGGGAAGAAAATGATGTGAAAATATATTGTTTATCATTAAATTAGGTTTCATTTGCAAGAAATGTCAGGGCCGGGCTTGGTCTTGTTCTTAGAGGACGTTGTGCAAATTAACTTGTTGCAATTTAGTCTCTGAGTGTCTCCATTAGGGGTGTGAATCTTAGAGCAACTCACGATTTGATCCGATTCCAATTCTCGGGGTGCCGATTCGATTCAGAATCGATTCTCGATTCTCAATTTAAATTGATTCACAATCAGTATTAACAAAGAGTGTCAGCTCCAGGATGAACTACTTTGTTGTACAAGTTAGTTAAAGCTATGGGACGTTTTTATTTGACTTTAAACTGGTCATGCTCCAAAAATGCTGATTTACAATGTAAACTAAAGTGATTCTAAAACTGTAAACAGAAACAATCTTTTGACCAAAAGGCAACATTTATTTTTGCTTACCTTGTAAAATATAACAAATCTGTAGTTACCTAACAGTAGCTTTGAAAGTAATACGGTCAAATACTTTTCAAGTATGTGTAGAAACAAGTTACATGAGTAATCCTGAGTACTCATTTATCAACTTAGAAAATAAATATGAGAATATCTCAAATTTCTGTGTACGGAAAAAAATGACATTCAAGTGTCCTCTTATCAGCAGATTCAAACATGAATCATCTCAATTTATGTGACCACAAAAGTAAACGGAGTACTGACTCTCCTAACAAAGATCAAAAAAGTGCATCTCAAACCTGTAACGTGCCAAATATTTGAGTTCTTGGAATCGATTCTGAACCTTTGTGAATCGATTCTGAATCTTTATAAATAAGAATCCCGATTCAGACTTGAATCGATTTTTTTCAGCACCTCTAGTCTCCGTTATGTCTCCTTTTATTTTCAATTTCATCACTAAACCATCAGAGTTTAGGAAGGGGTCCCAGATGGGTTTAGTTTCAGAGGAAATGTGTCCCACAGATTTCTGCCAACATGTTCTCTCAAATTTAGAAACCTTAGCAAACATTAGGAGATATGCTGAAAAGCCTTTTATGAATGTTGTCATTCACAGTCACGAGCCAGTAAGGTTAACTGTTCTTCCTAATCAGAAGATAACAACCGTGACATGAAATGCATGTAAAATCCATCCTAGCATAGATCACATTTGTCTTAATAAGACATTATTGCCTTTTATATTGTCTCATTTAAGCTACAACTGATCAAATTACTTAATAAATGATGGTTTTGTTACACATGGTGTTTTATTTTGAAAAAAGAGGTCATAAAGTGGCTCTGAAAGCTGACACTCAACATCATTAAAAGCGTTTAGACATTTCTTTGAAGAAAAAAAGCAGATTGTTTTATTTAAGTCATCAGTCGCATTTTTAAACTTTATTTAACATAAAAGGAAAATGTCAAATTTGTAAACGGTATTAAAAGCATTTATTCATACGTTTAACCCTCTCAGGCTCAAAATAAGTTTTGATAAAAGGACGACAACTAAGTCCTTCAGGGTTACTTCTGAGTTAAGAAATGCTCATGAAATACGTGCGTGGAGTAACCAGGTAGGTAGGTTTTAACGTTGCTAATCTGCAACGCCTACCTCCAGAGGGTTAAAGGCGACTCACGCTGCACCGTGTACCATATTACAAATATTTGTTACCAATTTTATCAAAAAGTCTTTTCATTTTTATAATTTTTATTAAATTACCCAGTAAAATAAACTTGGGACACATTTAAACAGCAGCAGATGTGGGATCGCCTCACTTTATGAAGTCTGACCATCATCGTGCTGTATAAACATCCTAAAGCCATCCAACACTGTGAAAATGGAGGCTTGGAGTGTTTCTCAATGTCAAGGCACCTGGCCTTGCGAGGCGACGTCTTGCTTACGAGGACACTGTCCTTCCTTGGTCAAAGAAAACGGTTAAATGGAACAGACTTGCATCACGTGACCGCGGCTTCCACGGCGGTCACGTAGCGTCAAGTGACACGAGAGATAACGTTATATTTTATACGTATTAGTTTAAATATAAATATATAATGAGCTTTTACTTTTTAAATTGTGTTTATGTTTATTAAATTAAAAATATAAGCGAGTTACTACCTGCTAGCCACCGAAGCTGCAACTACTAAGCAACTAACCAACCATAGATAACTTCTTTGGATCTAAAAAAAACATTTTGAATTAGTTGACTTACTTTTAAACTTGAAAATTGTCCCCGAAGTAGCTGCCGGTTTTTGATTTGCCATCCTTTTGAAAATACTGCGGTGTATTGTGGGTAATTTTTGACCAAGGTTAGGCTACAAGACACCTCTCATGTATCCTAGCTCAGCTAGCTAAACGGCTAACAAACGGAGAACAAACGCCTCGGTAAAACATGAACATTGGAACAAGTCTTGGTGGCTCCTGATGACGTATCTCCGAGGCAACCGGGGCGGGGCCAAGACATCAAGGCAAGGTTCCTTGGCATTGAGAAACGCCCATGGTCTACTTTCCGTGGAAACGCGGAGCATGCTTCAATATCAGTGGTGGTTGTTTTCTGCTGCATGCCACGTAGCGTCTAAAAAGTTGGTGAATGATAAACTTGTGACTTTTTTAAGGGATTCGTATGCATTGTTGTGAAACTCAGGCTGATTGTTCAGATTTTCACTAGACCTCATGTGCTAACTTCAAAATGAGACGTAATCCCGGCCTTGTGTACTGTTCAATCCAAATGTGATGAATTAAAAAACTTGATGATGTTTGTTCAAAGTCATTCAATGATGCTTTGCTCTATTTATGTCGTGTCTGTGATTAGTGCAAAAATAAACCCAGATTTTGGATTTGTGCTGCTTATTCTTGTTTGTGTGGTGCAATCACTCTCTTTCTAAACCACTTTTCCTCACTGGGGTCACAGGGAGCGGCAGTCGTAGAGCGAGGTGAAAAACCAGCCACACACTCACACCTAGGGACAATCTGGGCCTGCCAATTAACCAAACATGATGTTTTTTGGTCTGAGGGAAAAATCCAACTCTATGTGGAAACTTCCCAGAGCCTTGGCACCTCAGACAGTGTGGATGCTCTGACTGGATCCATTCCATATTTTACTAAAAATCTAAGTATTTATTGTTGATTCACAAGGTTCTTTTACTCTGACATATAAGCTTAGGGAACTTCAACCCCTTATCGAGCGGGGTTATTTTTGCTAAATCACTTGTAATTTGACCTCTCCAAATTAGAATTATTCCTGTTATTGAACCATCAGAGTATAAATAAATGTTTGGTCACTTTGTAAAGGTAACACTCTCTAGTTTCACCCACAACAGTCAGAATTACTTTAGGTATAACAGGTCAAAGGCTATGCACCTTAGAACCATCAGGAAAAAATGATTTTTTTTGTTCTCGCATAATTAAAAAAGAAAAAGAAAAAGAAAAGGTCTCTATAGCTGCTGTAGGTAGTTGGGGACAGAAACACATCATCTGCCAACAGAATAACTTGTTGACTACTCACATTTCAAATTTGAAAAGAATATCTATAAAAAAGAATATTTTGCACCAGTTTTTATGCGGGCATGTCCACTCACATTTCAGAGGGACCTGTGGTTTATCCAAACCTATCCAAATTGGACACATTTGGGAACGTGTGGAAAAAGTGCTATAACTTTTGAATGCTTCCACTCACAGATATCAATGAGGGTTCTACTGAAAGCTTACACCTATAGGAATCTATATCTACACACAGTGTCACTCCATTATCCACATCCAGTTATGGTAATTCATATTCCATAATCTGAGACCATGGTTCTCGACCGGAAAAGGGTGGCTTGCCAACTCCGGGTCGGGATAGAGGTCCTACCTCAAGTGGAGAAGTTTAAGTATCTCGGGGTCTTGTTCACGAGTGAGGGTAGGAGGGATCGGGAGATCGACAGGCAGATTGGTTCAGCGTCTGCAGTGATGCAGACGCTGAGCCGATCTGTCGTGGTGAAGAGGGAGCTGAGCCAGAAAGCCAGGCTCTCGATTTAACGGTCGATCTACGTCCCAATCCTAAACTATGGTCATGAGCTTTGGGTAATGACCGAAAGAACGAGATCGCGGATACAAGCGGCCGAAATGAGTTTCCTCCGTAGGGTGGCCGGGCTCAGCCTTAGAGATAGGGTGAGGAGCTCGGACATTCGGGAGGGACTGGGAGTAGAACTGCTGCTCCTCCGGATCGAAAGGAGTCAGTTGAGGTGGTTTGGGCATCTCGTCAGGGTGCCTCCTGGATGCCTCCCCGGGGAGGTGTTTCGGGCATGTCCTGCCGGCAGGAGGCCCCCGGGTCGACCCAGGACACGTTGGAGAGGTTACATCTCCAATCTGGTCCGGGAACGCCTTGGGGTCCTGCCGGAGGAGCTGGTGGAGGTGGCCGGGGAGAGGACGGTCTGGAGCTCCCTAGTTGGGATGCTGCCCCCACAACCCGGACCCGGGTAAGCGGAGGAAGACGACGATATATTCCATAATCAAAACCATAAAATATACACATTTCAATGTAAAAAAAAAGGTCAAAACAAAGGTTATGGGTTAAAATGTATATATATATATATATATATATATATATATATATATATATATATATATATTAGAATGCACACAAACACACAAACTATATACATTATGCCTTTTCTGGTTCTTGTCAACTGACGAGTCTTGGAGGAAGAACCTGGTTCTGGTGCAGGATCTGAAGATGGTCTAAAAAGTAATATCAACAATAAGACACAATTATAATGTTATATATATATATATGTATATATATATACGTAAGAACAAGTCTCCTGACAGCACAAAAACAACCTCCTTCATACAAAGTTCTCCAGTCACTCTGATGGATCATCAGCCAGTCATGATGTTCTCCACACATCTTTTCAGCATGGACATTCACACCAGGTGGCACCTCCCTAAAGCTCCCACACCCTCTCAATAACTCAGTCCTGAAAGCCCGATCAGGCCTGAAAGCCTCAAGAACCTCAACCCCCACAAGGCTCCTGGACCTGACCACTCCCAATCCCAAAGAAGCCAACCATCACTGGGATTTGGATCTAATAAAACACGTGGTGGGCCTCACTGAGGAGAAAATTTTATCAAGAGTCTCAGCTTTTATGTATATAACAGATAATCTACAGCTGACCAGCAGATCAGATTGTACGCATGTAAAACCAGTTACCAATAGATGTAAAGTACATTATACTCATGTTACTTATTTTCAAAATGTAGTTTCTTGCTCATCCATTTCAACATGGACTTCTGCCAACACAGTTTCTGGCTCCCAATCAGGGTCACTTTGCCTGTATAAATGAGCAAATATTTGATTATTTGTCATTGTACATGCTTTTGTGTCTGCCAATCAAATTTTTCGTGCAAAATTGTGTGAAAAAACTATTAAAGCTGTTATAGTGAGTCTACTGAACAAGCTAGGTTTTGAATGCAAACAGTCACCCTCGCGTATCTTCCCTGGATCTGTGTCCACCAGAACCAGAAACCCACACCAGTCGTTGTTTTCTAGGTCCAAACGTCTTTTGTTGTCCGTGATTTAAAAATTGTGTTTTTGTTTTTGGGACTCTGGTAGCTTGTCCTGAAGTTGGAGTGGTAGCAGCCGGCTGTTTCTCCTCTGTTCGGAGGACCTCCCGCACCAGTGGCGTTCTGTCATGAGTGCGTAAGAAATGGAAGACTCAGGAAAGAGCGGCGGTTCGGCGAGACTGCAGTGGTGTGTCCAGGTCTTTTAAAATGGGGTAGCTCAGGAGAAGTCCTTGTTTATGCATGGGTGCTGCCTTTTATTTTGAAAGGAGGTTGTGTCACCACTCACAAAAAAGTTCGGTTTTTTTTTCTTCTTCTTCTAGCTGTTTTGTAGTTGTTGGCAAGTCACTTCCTGGTGCATTACCACTACCAACTGGAGTGGAGTGTGGACCAGGAGTGTGAATATTATTTATGTCAATATAAAAAAAAAGACTAAATAATAATAATACACAAATATTATGTAGTCCTGAGGTTTTAAACCACTGCCTGCTGCCATCTGTTTTAGGGTTTATAGCCCTAATCCTTTTATGGACAATGTAAAGTCAATTTAAATGGAATTCAGTGGGATGGCACATGGGGTGGCCAATAAGATTCCAAGAGTGGCACGTGCTACCCCAATCCCAGGCCACTCCCTGGACACGCCCATGCAAGACTGACAACGGGATGGTTCGATAGTTGCTTTTAGTCCGAAAGGTGTTATTAGCGGAGGTTGTTATTCATATGCAAGAGAACCACTTCCTTGTTTTTTTTCCATAAAAAAAATCTCCACAAAATATTTATAGCTATGTTATGTTAGAGGGTTGTTAGAAGGAACGTGATTGCAGCTTTAATTGTAACTGCAGGTAACATATGTTGTAATTAGTTGTTTGATGATTAAAAAAAAAATCCCAAAACAGAAAAACTAGATAAAAACAGCTAAAAAGAGACCTTTTACATAAAAATTATAAAGATAAAAACACTTTCAAATAAACACCCTCCTACTAAACAAACAGCACTTAGACCTATCGGAGGCCAAGAACAGATTTGCGCCTGTGATGCGTCAGCTTTCTGAGTGCAGTCTGAGCTATTCTTATTAATTAAGAAAATATTTTTCTACTCTAATTTTATTTATTTATTTTGCTAATCTTGATCAAAAATAGCTTTGGTAAACAAAAATGACAAGGAAGAGGTTCAAAAACATGAAATTATCATTGCTTTCTCAGAAATGAGTGTTCCGTCTTTCTAAGAGAGACCTTAGAAACTTTCTCTGACATCGTCGTTTGTTTTTTGCTAATAAATCACCATCCTAGCCAAGCTTTATGATCCCACCACATCTCAGACAGTCGCTTCATTTCACACACCTATCTGTAATCAGCAGTGGTTATAAATCAGAGTTTTATCAAAATCTAACATCTTTATTTGACAACAAATAAAATGGACTTTTTTACAGGATGTGTACAATAAATTTGTTTTAAAGACAACTTGTTGGTGAGCTGTAGCATCCTAATTTATGAAGCCACTATAAAAACTACATACTGTTCAACCCTTCCAGTATAGAAAACCATAGAAAGCTCTGTTCAACGTCGTCTCACTACTTTTTGTTAAAAAAATCTGATTGTTAATTTTAAAACCTGACATGGAAAATCCAAAGCTTATTTTAGATTTGAATCATCCTCTAAATAGACTTAACTACAGGGTGGGCCATTCATATGGATACACCTTAATAAAATGGGAATGGTTGGTGAAAGAATAAAGTTACGCTAACACCAAACAAACCATTGTTTTTCTTGTGAAATTCCCAATAAGTTTGATGTGTCAGATGACCCTCTTGCCACTGAAAAAACAAAAGTTGGACCCAAGATGGCCGACTTCAGAATAGCCACCATGGTCACCACCCATCTTGAAAAGTTTTCCCCCCTCACATATACTAATGTGCCACAAGCAGGTCGTTAAAATCACCAACCATTCCCTTTTTATGAAGGTGTATCCATATAAATGCCCCATACTTGTGTCCGAGCACCGTGTCTTTTCAGGACAATAGATTAGTTACTAGAGCGCTCCTTTACAGTAAGCTATAACATCTAACTTTACAACCAAACTCAGAACATGTGTGAAGATTTACTGGTGCTTCTTTTCTTGGCCTGCCTTGCTGCTCAGTTTGAGTATAAAAACGAATTAAAAAAATGTTGAGATGGTTTAATTTTTAGTTAGCCTAGTGAACTAGACCAAATTCTTGCTTTGCAAAGTTTGGTCTAAGAACGCTCCATTGGAACCTCTGCTGCCACTAGCAGCATCCTGGCTGACAGATCACAACTCT